CTTAAACAGTCTGAAGTCTCGACTAAAGGTCTCCAGACCCTCTCAATCTGAGTCCCCAGCGAGCGACTAACCTCCACCGGAGTAAACAGATTGAGGCCCTAACGAACCAAACCTCCACTACCGAAGTAAATTCGGTACAGAATAGTGAACTAACTCCTCGACTAAAGTCGCCAATTCACCACCTTCAATTAAGGGTGCTCTATTAACCTAGGCAGATATTCTCTTTCTAGGTTAAAGCATAAATAACAGGAATTTGATCAGGATTCAAGTCATTCAATCATTCAAGCCTCAATTGAACATAATCAAATCATAAAATTTGTACTTGGGTTCATACAATCAGACCTGACATACAAATCTAGGGTTCTCCATACCCAGATGAATGCGAAAACTACTCCATAGAGAAAGAAGCAAAAGCAGATTCAGATGCGGAAACCATACTGTGAAGGATGGGTTTCTGCTCCTGGGCGTCGATCGACACTTCTCCAAGCTCAAGCCGGCCTCCAATGGTGATGAAGATCAAGCTAGGGCACTTGGGAACTCTTGTTCGTCGCTTTCTCTCTAAAACTCGGAACCCCCTCACTTGTGGCTGGAAATTGGCTTAAAACTAGAAAATTCCGACTCACACGGCCATGTGACTCCCCCAGCTGCCCGTGTGGCTTTGCAAAACGCGGCGTTTCGTTAAGTGACTTCAGGCTTCCTACGCGGCCACGACCCACACGGCCGTGTAAGTGTCCAGGCTGCCCGTGTGGCTTTTGCCGAGCCTTCACACGGCCACAGTGGGTCTCCTACACGGCCGTGTGGCTTTTGGGCATGCCCGTGTGGCTTCTCAGCTTCTCGCCAAGCGTCCAAACTTCGTCCAATCGACCCCGAACTCGTTCTTAAACCTTCATTCACGTACTAGGACCTGAAATATCACAAACAAGAACAACCTAACGTGAAATCGGCCTAAAACACGGGAAACGACATCTCAAACGGCTCAAGAATAAGGGTAAAACATGTGTAATCAATGGTCTATCAAGAAGACCGAAAACCAAACTCGAGCAAAGCCAAGGTGAATTTCTGATACCAATTGCGAGAAGCCTGTTTCAAACCATAAATGGACTTGCGTAGCCTATAGACTCGGTTATCACCAGGTGCTCGAAACCCTTAAGGAATAGTCATGTAAACCTCCTCCTCCTCAAGATCACCATGGAGGAAGGCGTTGTTAACATCCAATTGATGAAGATGCCAACCACGATTAACTGCAACTGCGATGAGACAACGAACGGTAACCTATTTTGCAACCGGGGCAAATGTATCATGGAAATCAAGGCCTTCAATCTAGGTATAACCCTTGGCTACCAGTCGCGCCTTGAATCGCTCAATACTGCCATCAGGGTAGAATTTGATTTTAAAAACCCATTTTGACGAGATGGCTCGTTTTCCAGGAGGGAGGTCCATGAGAGTCCAAGTACCGTTTTGCACGAGGGCCTGGATCACTTTTTCCATCGCAGCCCGCCATCGAGGGTCGTGGAATGCTTGTTGAAACGTGGTCGGCTCCTCAATCCCAGTTAGCGCTGCAAGAAAAGCAAAATAGGTTGGTTTAAAACCAGCATAAGAAACATAGGAGGAAAGAGGGTAGCGAACTGAATGGGAAGCACTTCCCTTGTGGTCATCAAGAGTGATGTAATTCTCTAGGTATTTGGGCCTCACGCGCACATGGTCACCTCGTCGAAGAGGCGGAGGCGAAAGTTTGGGACTGGCTACAGCAGGAGAAGGAGGGGCAACCGAGTGGTTGCGGGCAGTGACTGGTGAAGTGCTTGAGCTGGGAGACATGGACTTGGCACTAGGGGAGGATGTGGTAGACTCGATAGTCGGCGAGGGACGAATTTCATCTTCGGGCGTGAGGACATGTGGGTCCGAGAAAGATGCTTCGTCATCAGGTGTAGAAAACACAGGCCAAGGCACCCAATGCAACTCTCGTTGCATGCCATGATGAAAGGGAAAAGAACTCTCGTGGAATTGAACATCACGAGATGTTAGAACCTTGCGGGAGACCAAATCATAGACTCGAAATCCCTTCTGGGTAGGGGCATAGCCAAGAAAGACTCCGGCTCTTCCTCGTTCACCAAACTTGTCTAGGTGGGCAGGAGTGTCCTAATAATAAAGCAAACAACCGAAAACACGCAGATGGTGATAAGTAGCTGGCTTACCAAAGAGGATCTCAAAAGGTGACTTGCCAGTAGCAGTGGTCGGCATGCGATTAAGGAGATAAACAGCTGTAAGAATGCATTCGCCCCAAAACCGGAGTGGAAGATTGGCCTGAAAACGGAGGGTGCGAGCGGTATCCAGGATATGACGATGTTTGCGCTCAACCACACCATTCTGCTGTGGTGTGTCGGTGCAAGAAGTCTGAAGTAAAATACCCTCGCGAGAATAATAAGAACGTAGTGGTTCAGTATTGAACTCATAGCCGTTATTAGCCTGGATGCGTTTAACAGTTTTCCCAAACTGTGTCTTCACCATTTGTAAAAACCGTAAGAGATATTGAGCCACATCGGATTTGAACCGTAGCAGATATACCCAAACACTGCGAGTGAAATCATCCACAATAGCTAAGAAAAAATGGGCACCACTTAGAGAAGCAATCTTGTAACCACCCCAGAGATCAATGTGAATGAGATCAAAACTAGAAGACGTCTTAATCGTACTTGTCTCAAAAGGAAGTCTAGACTACTTAGCACGTGAACATGAATGACACGGCTGATTATTATGACCAAAAGACAAAGATAAAATCTGACCAATATAATTATGTTTATCTAAAGACGGATGACCCAATCTAGCATGCCAAGTCGCGTCTGAAACCGATCGTCCTTGTTGCGCTGCACACACCTGCGTCTGCCAATGACCAAACAAGTGCAAGTAGTAAAGCCCATCCAGGAGCTTACCCTTCTCAATCAATTTCTTGGAGAGTAAGTCCTGGATAATACAAAATCCATCAAGAAACACCAAAGCCACACGGTTATCTTTGGTTAGTCTGCTAACAGAAACTAAATTGCAGCGAAATTCCGGGACATGAAGTACTCTGCGTAATGTGAATCCAGATTTGAGCTCAACTGAACCAACCAGTTTAACATGAATACTCTCCCCATTAGGGATGCGAACAGGCTGTCCACTAGTGTGAGTTTCTGATACCCCCCTGGGAGGGTGTATATTATCAAAGTCACGCAGCTAACGTCTCAATCGAAGAATCGATTGAGCTCGAATCAAGAACGAAGCGTTCTTAATACGAACTTGGATAAAACGGAACCAAAAGGACAAATCCACACCTGGGGATAGCTCGATTGGTATAAAAGGGTAGTTGCTCGACCACGATTAAAGTGACTATTCAATCGATACACAAGCTCAGCAAGTTTGGAATCCGCCAAACCCAAAACAAGTCGCAACTTGCACAAACCAAACGGTTTCGATTTCTATTCCACAAAGTCTGAGTTTTACAACGAAAGTAGAAAGGTATTTAAAGGCAAATAAACCTAATACAAACCTAATAGAACTAGGAAACAATTAAGGTGAAAATCTACTCTAAAAAGGACTCAAAATTCGGATTTAAACTCTCTTTCTTCAAGTGCAAGTAAGCTGCCAGCAAACAGTCCAAAAGCAGCTTTCGTACTAACTTCGCACCTTTTTTTCAAGGCTTTCCAGAACTTCAATATTTCATCCAATTCCTTCCCTTGGTAGATAAACATACCTAGTTTCATGTTGTAGAAGCCTTTGGTCTCGAATAGGATCCATGCTCCTTGAACTGAGCTCCAAAGTAGGCTTCACAAAACAGTTTCCAGACTTAACCATTTTCTGGCAGTTTTCCAGTTTTGAGGTAGCAACTTTGAGGCCTTGGAAAACAACCTTAATGACATCATATGGATCCAAAAAACATACCATTGGAAAGATGGTAACTTGATCTGCAAAAAAAAAACCCTTAAAATTGAATTTACACCAAGCAAATTGAGAGAATCATGCCTCCAAAGTATGTACCCTGAACATGGATTTTGACTTAGCCAAATTCTGCATTTCTGCCCTTCTTCTTCCCAACTTTGATGGCTTCTTTGTCAAGTAATTGTGACGTGTATAGTTGACCATTTGGGATCATATCAGTTTCGTGAGTCGATAATAACGATTCATCCATGGTAATATACTCATTGCAACCAAAATCGAGCAACCATTCAGAACTATGAGAGAGTATACCTGCCATGTGCACCGCTGGGTCTTCAGCAGCCTTATCAGGAAGATTGAAAAATTGCTTGAGTTGAATTAATTGGGCCACCGTAAATCCAGCAATGGGACTTTGATCAGATGCGTCAACTTGGGAAGCTTTGGGTTCTCGTGTGTCTCGACCATCCCGACTGGATGCGTCACATCCATTATCTCCAGAAGCACGAGGGCGACGTCGTGGTCGTTGTGATAATTGTCGAAAACATATTGATTTTGCGTGCTTAATGTGATTATTTCATGATATGTTTGAGACCTATAATACTTATTTGAGGTCCAACTAAGCCTGAAATGGTTATAAAACCATTACCATCAAGTGCCAAATGTTTTGGCTAAATTACACGTTTGGTCACTCAAATTATACAAATCTTTCACGTTTGCCACCCGAATTACTTTTCTTTCTTATTCATCACTAACTTTACGAATCGTTTCACGGTTGGTCACCGGCCGTTACACTCCGTTAAGTTTGTCCTACGTGGCAGTCAACTATAAAGTTTGACCGTTAACTAGATGACGTGGAAATTAAAAAATAAAAAATAAAAAAAATTTATTTCCACCTCATCATTGCATCGAATCCGCATCTCTTCAGACCCTATTACTATTGATATGGCCGGACCCAGAGCTAGAAAAGGATGAGACGAGCTACCTGCGGAGGCTCTGCCGATCCTTCCTCCCGCCATGGCTAAATCCTCGCTGTGACCAACCAACCGCCGCACCAATTGATACGATCTAAATCTCACTTCGACCCTTCCCCAATGTTGTGCTCAGTCCCCGACGGGAAGCCCAGTTCAAATTGGCTGGACCGACTCCGATCCACCAAAGGCTTCCCCACCTCCGGCGACGTCGGATTAGACGACTTCCTTCTCACCAAACCCACCGCCGACGATGACGCTTCCGATTCCCCTACATCCGATGATGCTATCGCCTCCAATTCCCTCGTCAATTCCAACTCCGTCGCGGAGCAAGCCCCCAAGATTTCCGGCCGAAATGGTGAAGGGGACTGGTTCGGCGTGATGACCAATGTCCTCTCCGATCTCTTCTACATGGGCAGACCCACCGGAATAACCAGGAATAAGGGCGCCAGGAAGCAGACGAACCCTAAGTTTCGCGCCCTTCTTGCCTCGCCTGCGCTGCGGGGCGACGAGAAGGCGGCGGGTGTGACGAAGGCTTCGCTCAATTCCAACCACAATTCGAACATTGTACGGTCTAAGCGCGGATGGCGTGGATGAGGAGAAGGATAAGGACGAGTGCAGTTGTGGCGATGGTGAAGGGTGTGGAGGGGATAGAGAGCTGAAAGGGTACTCGCGGAGTGAAGTGACGGTGATTGATACCAGCTACGAGGTGTGGAAGTTTGACAAGCTGGTGTTCAGGAAGAGGAACATTTGGAAAGTGAGGGACAAGAAGGGCAAGTCGTGGGTGTCTGCTGCTGCGAAGAAGAAGAGAAAGAAGGGGAGTGGTGGGCTGGAAAGAAAATTATTAATATGATAAATTATATAGACAAAATAAGTGCAATGATGAGGTGGAAAGAATTTTTTTTTAATTTTTTAATTTCCACGTCATCTAGTTAACGGTCAAACTTTATAGTTGACTGCCACGTAGGACAAACTTAACGGAGTGTAACGGCCGGTGACCAACCGTGAAACGATTTATAAAGTTAGTGGCGAATAAGAAAGAAAAGTAATTCAGGTGGCAAACGTGAAAGATTTGTATAATTTGAGTGACTAAACGTGTAATTTAGCCCAAATGTTTTATATATTTCAGGTAAATGAAACGAGAAATTTGCATTGGTGGATAAAATAGTTCAAGTGGACTGGACGTACATTGGACCGGAACTTACTGAGGAGTTGAACCGGGACTTGACTTTTGTGTTCTGGGATTCTCTTTGGGCCTGGGCGGATGGAGGAATTTCTTTGGGGCAGCAAAAAAGAACCGAAAGGAGAAAAGGGGAAGTCAGTCTGGGACGGAAGCTCTTTTTGGGGGCGAAGAAAAGCAACAGTGCGCTAAAAAGCTTTCCAGGGGATATAATTGAGTTGGCGGCCAAATTCTCGGACGGGGACAGGGAATTTTGGTGGACGGCAGGAAGAACTAGAGGGAAGGAAATTAATTCTGCAGGGGGAATTGCAAAAAGGACGGAACCAGGAAAAAAATTGGAGAGCTGGGCGCCGCCAGGGAAGAGAGGAGACGGCTGGGAATTATTGGAGAGGAAGACGATTTCTTTTGGGGGCAAAAAGCAGGAGGGCGACTAGCGAGCGGCGATTTGGACTTGGCGACAATAGCTCAGCGAGTGACATCTCCCAAGGCGACGTGAGCTTTCAACAAAAACAAGTTATTCGGTTGGATTTTCTAGTCTGGATTATTTATTTATTGTTGATTTAGAATATGATGATCAAAACTATATTGTTTTATCTTAGTTTCATCATGAACTAAACCCCGATTTCTGGGCGAAACACCATAGGATGTAGCTATTTCTATATTTGATGGATTGATTCATATTTTTTTTCTTCCAATCTCTATTGCATGAAATTAATTAATCCTTTTTGTTGACTGGCCACAATACATTGATTTATTGTTAATTAGGTTATTAGCGACAGTGAAACCCTAATAACTGAACATATTTCATGTGACATAGTAACTTATCGAAGCGACAGTGGATTAAATAAGGTGCTATGCGGTCTTAAATAGGATATCGATCTTCAGGCTAAATAATTAAGTCATTGAGCTACGACAATAGGATTTGATTTAATTGTTTAGTACGTAGTAATTCCCGACAGGGATAGCTAGCACATTCGTGATATCTTGGCTGTAGAGAGTTGGATTAAACTGATTGGAATATGTGAATTAATTGTGATATGATAGGTAGTGAGTCTCGGTGTTTCCCCAGAGCTTTCTCCATTGAATTTCTCCCGACCAGTTTACTTTGCTTAATTAGTTCAATAATTTTGCTATTAGATAATAATCTCATCAACCAAACCATTTTTCACTTATAGTTTGCTCCACAAAATTGATAAATTATAAGGTTGTACCAGTCCCTGAGAGACGATACCCGGACTTTCCGGTTTACTACAAGATAGGATTAAGGCATATACGCTTTTGCCCTATCAGCCGTTCAGACGGTTTGTTCCGATCACGGGGAGGGTATCCAACCAGCTCATAGCAGTTGTCACGAATGTGACCAATACGTTGGCAATGTGTACAACGATGGCGTTCCCTCTCCCCCGAGCTGCGATCACCGCTTCCATGGCTGGGTTTCTCAGAGTCTCCTTGTGTGGCAAACGCGGCAGCTTCAGGTTGGTATTTCCGATTTTGTGAGATAAGTTTGTGTTGTTCAGCATGGAGAATAATATTGAAAGCCTCCCCAAGATTGGGAATTGGCTTCATAGCCAAGACTTGGGTACGAACGGCACCGAACACGTCATCGAGGCCCATAAGAAAGTCAAAGAGTCTAGCTGTCTCTTGCTGTTCACATACCCGGCGGGACACATCACAAGTACAATGACCACACGTACAGCTTGGAGTTGGCGAGATGGTCGCAGCTTCTTCCCACAATGATTTCAAACTCGTGTAAAAGGTGGGAACAAATTTCTTTTCTTGTTGGAGCAGTGAAATCAGGCGTCTTAATTCATATGCACGAGAGTAGCTACTTTGCCCAAACCTGTCACGTAGATCAACCCAAATCTCACGGGCATGGGCAGCAAATCGAATACTACTTCGGATTTCTTTATCCATCGAAGTTTTGAGTCATCCCTTGACCATAGCATCACATCGAATCCATGCTTCGCGTTCCTTCGGATTCGTGGGCTTGATGATTGAACCATCGACGAAACCATACTTGTTCTTGGCAAGAAGGGCATCCTTCATGTCCAAAACCCATTCACCGTAATTGTTTGCGGTGAGAACATCCCCGACCAGCATGTTTCCTAGGCCGTCGGATTGGTGAAGTTGATAGACCGGCGGTAAATCATCGACGGCCTTCCCTTTCCCTTGCGGCGTCGCGACGGAAGACTATTCGTCGAAGGCCATAGCGACAGGAAGATGGACACCTGGAGGTTATCGCTCTGATACCATGTAAAACTTTGAATAACGAAATAACACAAGACACGATTTAATGTGGTATCCCCGACGAATCGGGACTAATCCACGGGAGAGCTTTTGAATCTCTACGGCTACTGATATTATCGATATAAGGGTTTTAACTTGCATACAAGCAAGCTCTCGGATGCCCATTTATACTAGTAACTAGGGCTGCCTTAGGGTTACAACTCATCACACATAAGGGAATCTCCTTGGACGTGGGAAAGACATGAGCTGCATGGACACTCGAGCTGCTGAGCTTCTCGTCAGTACTAGGCTCAACGTCATCAACATGGGCCTGGCCCAATAATTAAGTGCTCATAGCTTATCATCCAAAATTAACAACAGAAAGATAAACTTAGGTGACCTATCGGCGCAAAGTTTCTCAGTATTCCAGTGACAATTTGTATGGGTTCTCATGTGAGCTACTCTATTACACTTTTCTTAACAAAAGCCCACTCCACCTTATCCATATCGAAGCCTCGGGTCGTATCGTATCTCATCACAGAGTCGCACCACTTCCAAAAAAGATTTATTTGGCCGGTTTAGTTTAGAACTCGCCTAAAATCAATCTGTTTCAACGATTTGTGGTTTGATATCCTTCATTTTCACTATTCTCACAACATAGACTTGTCGGAAATAGTACAATCTCCGGTGTCTAGAGTGATTCTAATCATTGATTTGAATATTGGATTACTTCAAAATATTAGTTGGAATTTTTTGATATACTAGAATTAAGAATACGCGAGAGAAAGAATAAGATGAACAGTGAGAAATAGTTGAACTAATAAATTGGGATAAGAGGAAATGGAAGCTAATAACTAGCATCCCAGTTACTAATTTTGATTACAAAGTTGAGTTTAAGTTAGGTCAAAACCTGATCTGACTCGACTAATTTGCAATTCTAGTACCATACATTAAAATCGTTTGTGGCTGAATAAACTAGCAGGAGGAGACAAAGAGGGAACTGAAGTACTTGAGGAGTATGATCTGATCTGATATACCCCAAAGATATAGCGTTTTTATGGGGAATCGGGCAGGTCAAGAATGTGATGAATCAACAAAGAGGGAACTGAAGTACTTGAGGAGTATGATCCGATCTGATATACCCCAAAGATATAGCGTTTTATGTGGAATCGGGCAGGTCAAGAATGTGATGAATCAACATATTTATAACGAGTGTCCATTTTGTGGGTTGATAATAACACAAGAACAACACATACAAAAATTGTGGCTGGACAGATAAGATTTGGAGACAGAATTTTATAGTAAGATTGTTTCGAGTAGGTGAGAATCGTGGTTGTGAAGAATGACTATGTGATCTATTGAAGAATAGCTACTCAATGGAGGAGTTAGGTTGAGACAAGAGGAACTGTAAGTTCACCTCAAAATTGAAATATAGTCAAAACTACATGAAAAAATCCATAACAAAATTTGGAAGTATAGTAATCGGTAAGGTCTTAGCCCCATCGGTTTCTCCAATTATGTCGGTTCAAAATTTTCTCAATCATTCAAATTTTTTACTTCTCCAGTCATGAGAAATCGTGATCTTTCCTAGCAGCTATATGATTCTTCGTGGACTATATTCCGATTTCACAATTGACCGATCTTTTAAAGAGCATTTGGAGCTAGATTCTGAATTCGAATTGCACAAAACTATTTGTTTCACTTTATACTGCTCATATATCGATTTATTGCTAAATTAGTATCTCGAGGTCTTGGGAGTCGAGAGCAATACAATAAAAAAAATGTGCTTCTCTCTGTAGAATCGTTTTTGTAACCTAAAAGTATTAAAACATATATTTTTAACATTTAAACCACAATTTTGACCTATGAGTACAATGAAGAAGACTTTCTTGGGCATTGTTTAGGCAAATACAAAGCTGGTCCAGATGATGTTATAATTGAACTTCACAGCCCAATTTACCCAGCCGGCGGGGGAACGGTATAGCAACCAAAGGCTTTACCTTCTTTGCGACCACCCCCAACTTATCCGAAAAATCGAGCTTCTCCTCGCCGTCCGGCAGCTTCCACTCAAAGGAATGCAACATCGACGCCAGCACATATTTCATCAGTCTCTCTGCCAGGTTAAGCCCGACGCAAACCCGCCGACCGGATCCGAACGGCAGGAACTGGAAACTACTGCCCATGAAATCAAACCTCGGCCCATCCTCACAACTGTCCAGGAACCTCTCGGGCCGAAACTGCAGTGGTTCGGCCCAATTTTGTGGGTCTCTGTGGATGGCCCAAGTATTGACGAAAACTGCAGCTCCCTTCGGGATGTGGTAACCGCCGATAGTGCAAGGCTGACCGGCCAGTCGAGGGGTGAGTCCTAGGTGCAACCGGCATGTTTCCTTGACGACGGCGTTTAGGTAGTTCAGCTCTTTCAGATGACGCTGTTCCACGACGTTGTTCGGTCCGACGATGAGATCTAGTTCTTGTTGGATTTTTGTCATCGCCTCTTTGTTGCTAAGAAGCTCTGTCATTGCCCATTCGAGTAGGATGGCTATGCTCTCCGTGCCACCAGATGCAATGTCCTGTCAATCATCAATATTGTTAGAACGGTAAATAGAAGTAGTGGTAAGCTGATAAGGTAAATTTGATTATAGTAAACCGAATCGATAAGCATTAAATAATTTAAGATGTAACTATCGATTTGGTTAGCTGTTAACTCATTAACTCAAAAAACGAATATGAAGAACACATAATTAGAAATCGTGACCAACTGAAAGGATATGGAGACAAAGTTTTATGGTGAGCTTGTTTCTGTTAGGCGAGGATCATGGTTGTGAAGAATAATTATAGGATCTTATTGAAGAAAAAAAAGCTACTCTACCGAGGAACTAGGTTGAAAGCAGGAGGGACTGTAGTCTCATTGAAATTTGAAATATAGGTAAACTACATGTAAAATTTATAACAAATGTAGAAAATAAAGTAGTCGATAAGTTTTTAATCCCTCTCCCGATTATCACGGTTCAAATCAACCCTACTAATTCAAATTTCTGACTCCGTCAGAGAACCTACTAATAAGTAGGGCTGACTATTTGGTCCGGGCTATATGGTTTTACCCGAAATCTGACCGTATAACTCAGACCAGGACCGGAACCGGAACCGAAACCAGATAGCAAACAATCTAATCCAATCTTCTGGCTTAGATTTGAGGTAAAAAAAACCCGTTTGGACGGGATCGAAAACCGAATAAAGACCAGATAAGAGAGTCCAACACCCAAAACTTAACCAACTCCTCCTCCTTTGAGTCCTCAGGCAACTCAAATCCCTACAAGCTCAATCTAAAATCAAGACAAAATTGGGACCCGACCGGATCAAAACCGGACTGTATCCAATCCAATCTTTGGTCATTATATTCCCAAAAAGACCGAATTGCGATCGAATCAATTCGGACCAATTTAACCGGACCGAACCGGATAAATGTGATCTTTCCTGACAGCTATATGGTTCTTATGGACAGTGATGGCAATGGGTCGCTGCCCCGCGCTCGTACTGGTCGGGGCGGGTAATATCCGCGCGGGTACGGGGCGGGGCGGGTCGACCCACTCTTACATGCTATTTGAGAAAAATACACACTAAATTTTACTTTTAATGATAAAACGAAAGGGAAAAGACTTTATGAATGAATAATAGTGATAATATAATGAGTAACTGAGTCTATTTAGTTGAAAGATCAAGTCTAACTAGTTGAAAAAAAGTCAAAATAGGAGATATATGAATGGATGGGGTAAGAAATTGACCTAGAACGGATCAAGAATGGGGCGGGGCGGGTCGAAAGTTGATACCCATATCCCATCCCACGCTATTACGAGTTGGGTAATACCAGCCCATCTTGGGTCAGGTCGGGTAATACCCGACGGGGCGTGTTCAAATTACCATCCCTACTTATGGAAAGAGTGCAATAATGATCCTCTCAGTTTCTTCAAAAATAAAAAATTGATCCTCTCGGGCATACCTGGATCATAGCCTTGAAGTGGAGGGACGAAGAGGCAATCAAAGAGTCCTCCCGGCTCTGAATTTCCAGCAAAATCTGGAGCAAATCCTTGGAAGGCACCAATTTCCCCGAAGACAAATCATCCATCCGTCGTTGTACCACCGAAGTAATGATCCCATCGAAACGCTCCGCAACCGCCGCCGCCTCCCCCTGAATTCCCTGCAAATCAAACCTCGCAAGCAGAGGAATCACGTCGGAGACATTCGCCCGCCCCAACAGCTCCGTCATCTCCCTCGTCGCCTCCCGATACTCCGCCGCGAAATCCGGCGCCGCCCCTCCTCCCTCCCCGCTGCCGCCCCATAACATTACCAGGGTCGAATCGACCACCAACTTCATCGCCGCATCGAACACCTCCGTCGCCTCGCCGGCGCGAATCTCCCGCATCCCCGCCTGAACCACTCCCCTGCCCAGCGCGTGACACGTGTCCAGGGCCCCGCTGCTGAGAACCTCCCGGAACATGACCTTCCGCAGCCCGGCCCAATCGGGGCCGTACGGCAGGTTGGCGAGGTCGATCCCGCCGTAGGTTAAGATCCGGCCCACAATCGGGATCGGGCGGGTCGAGAAGATGGACTCGTTGACCCGGAGGACCTCTTTCGCCAGATCCGGGGAGCTGACCACCACCAGGGATCTGTTGAGGCCCTGGATTGTGTAGATTGGGCCGAGGGTTTCAGCCAGGGAAGTGAGCTGCCGGTGGAGGTCGTTGCGGCGGAGGAACGGGAGGTACCCGACGACCGGCAGCCCACGTGGACCCGGCGGCGATTTGGTTCTTCGGAGATTTCCGAGGAAGTAGAGAACGACGGCGGATATTGTGATTGCGATGGTTATGGTCAACAGTGATGTGGCGGAAGTCTCATATGTGAGTGGAGAGATTAGGGAAGTAGCCATACGGGGAAAAGCTCACCGGCGACGGGTTAGAGTTGTAGACTGAGAAAAACTTTGACGATTGCTTCTACGAGGCGGTGATAAGTGATAACTGAGATGTGGATCTGCATCCAATGTTGGTAGGCGTAGGAATATTATAACTCAAATATTAAAGTGTAACGAAGTACAGGGTTAGAGTTGTTCATTTATTGGACAGAAAAGAAGTGGATAGAAATAAAAAAAAAATTTAAGGAAAAACTGTTGAGTGCTTGGCTGCTTGCACTACACTAGCTAGTACCTAGTAGCCACCGTAGTCCGTAGATGGCAAGCAGACTGTCCAAGTGGTCTGACTTTCAGTTACCAGGAAACAATGGTCATCAAGTCCTCATGGCCGTCGCTATTAATCGTTGTCCTTAAAACAGATGTTATGGTAGGTCTTTGAGAATTTCAAATTCGTGGGTTGGGTTCCACTTAAAGGGACGTCTAAGACAGTAGCTAAGTATCATATATGAACCTCAAGTTATTGACACGAGTTGGTTAACAATAGCATTATTCTTCCAAAGTCTTTGTAGATGAATTAACTTAATTTGTATGGATCACATAGCACGATTAGGGTAACGTACATAATGTGTACTAATAATTCATGATATTATCTACTAATAATTTATGATCCCTCCTCTGCAGCATTGAAGTTTCCATTCGATTAGTGGTCACCTCAAATCTCCGAAGATAAAGAAAGTTATGAATTGCAGCGGAAAATATTCTTACATGTTGAAATGTTTCTTGATTTCAATAAGTAATTTTAGGGTTGCTAAATACGAGTCAATGTAGATCCATTTCTATTTTTTCAATTCAATTTCAATAAAGAAGATGTTGTTGAGTTCACTTATCTTCCTGTTCATTTCAGAGACGATAAATGCGGCGGCGGATCCATGACATAGTAGAGCACTGGGCCGCATTTGAATAGAAAATTAGAAATCGTTAAAAAAATGATAGCTATAATTTTCATTACAATGTCAATTGTACATGACGATCTTTTAATTTAGTGAATTCATAAAATAATTGAATCTTCATCCATAACAATAACATACTCTTTCTCAAAGAAAATAGTTATGCAATCCGCGGGAAATTCATCGCTCATTTTGTTGCTTAAATAAGTTTCACATGTTTCATTGATGAAAATATTATCTCCGTAGTAGCCGTTGAAACAAGCTAGGTTAACACTAGACGAATCAACTGACAAATCAATGTGTAGTGTGTATCCATTCTTGTTTCCACCAGCTTCTCTAGTAATTTTGCAAGAGAAGAAACTTCATATTCCTGGCTATGAACCACATGAGCGGTATAATATCGTAGATCATTCTTCAAAGAATGCATCTAATAGCCTTCAAAGTCTTGAGGATAAACTCTTGAGCTAGTTTGTTAATATTTTCTTCATAAAAAAACAGAAATAAATTTTAGGATCTAGTGAACCCCTCAACTGAAGCAATTTAAATGATGACTCAACAAGTTTGTTAATATTTTCTTCATAAAAAAAACTCGAAAGAAAATTAGCTCCTGACGAACTAGCGAAGGAATCCGTTTCGGGTTCGTTCGTCTCATCGTTCTATTTTTTTTTTTTTTGGATTGGAGGAATTTTTTGAGTTTTGACAGAGAAGTTTGAGGTTTAGTTTAGAGGTTTTTATTTCAATGAAACTTTATACTTTTAGTCTTTTACGAGTAAGACTTTTAAGTTTCATTGTTCATTTTATTCTTTTCAAATGAAAATGATTTGGGCTAGAATTTTTAGTCTAAATTGAGAGTAGTGGTTTGGATATGTTCATCTATACTATTTTTCAAGTTACACAAAATCCTATTATCAAATAATATTGGACCAAATTTAAATAGCACTAGACCGAACACCTAATATCGAAAAAATTCATATGTACTATACCAATTCGGAACCGCAAGAGGGCTGGGCCGGGGCCCGGGTGGCCCAGCCCTAGATCCGCCACTGCATAAATGGTAATTCAACATATATTTTTTAAAACAGAAAAATGTGTGTAACCTAGTTCGAATGGATCCACGATTTAAATATATAGGACTTAGATCACAACAACAGCTCCTGATTGCCATAGTTCGGCTAACTTTCATTGTCTACCGACTTATTAAAAGGGAAACTTGCCCGGCCATTGTTTAGGTAACACAAACAGGACTGGCTTCTATTACAACTGTACTTCACAGCTCCAAATCATTCCACACTACACATCCGGCGGGGGAGCGGTATAGCAACCAAAGGCTGTTCCTTCTTCACGAACGGACCGAACTTGTCTGAAAAATCCGGCTTCTCCTCGCCGGCCGGCAGCTTCCACTCAAAAGAATGCAACATCGACGCCAGCACATGGTTCATGAGCCTCTCCGCCAAGTTATACCCGACGCACATCCGCTCCCCGGAACCGAACGGCAGGAACTGAAAGCTGCTGCCCACGAAAGTCAGCCTGGGCCCATTTCCACCGCCGTCCAGAAACCGCTCGGGCTTGAACTGCAGCGGATCGGCCCAAAACTCTGGGTCTCGGTGTATGGCCCAAGCGTTGATGAAAACTGTAGCTCCCTTTGGAACCGCGTAGCCGGCGACGGTGCAGGGTTGACTGGCCAGCCGAGCCATGATCCCCACGTGTAACCGGCAAGTTTCCTTAACGACGGCGTTCAGGTAATTAAGCTCTTTCAGATGATGTTCTTCTACTACGTTGTTTGGTCCCACGACTTGATCTAATTCTTGTACAACTTTTGTCATTACTTTCTCGTCGTTTAGAAGCTCCGTCATCGCCCACTCGATTAAAGTTGTTGCTGGATCTGAGCCACCGCTTGCTACGTCCTGTATGTATGCCAACAAAACCAATGAGAATGATGGGAATATAAAAAAAAAAAACCTTATTTCATAATTATGAACTACCTTTACCTAGGTTTTTTTTTTCTTCTAAAACGAATAAAGTCAATGAGGAAGTTGTTAGAAGAGATTTATGTATAAATTCTAATTAATGTTTTTATGCTTTCTTAAATGAAAGTCAACTTAGGAATTTGAAATTCCACAAACACATTATACAATTTGATTTATAATAATGAATAATGATTAATATTGGAGATAGTGAGGATTTGAATACGGACCTTAAAACAAAATCAGCTCTGATAGCGTATCATAAACCAATTTGTCACAATAATACAAGTTGTTGGGAGAGGTTTACATATAAATGGATCATAACCACTTTCTTACACGCCCCCTCTAACTCGAGCCACTCAAACAAGCTTGAAGTTTGTTGTTTAGACAAGTCTGAATACAAACAATAGAGTTCGCCATGATTCGAAAAGAAGACCTTTCATTCACAGAAGGCTCTGGCGACATGTTAAGAGTCTGTTGATCCCAATTATGGATCATATACCACTAATTAACAAGTTATTTGGACTAACTAATTCGTGATATACTAATATTATATCATAGCCTTCTATAATTGAAAGATTTTGGGTTGAAACTTGGTGACCTTTTTTATTAACCACATGATATTCTTATACATACTGCAAACTTCAAGTGTTTCTCAATTGGGTTTTGTTCGAAAAAGTGTATTAATAAGCGATATCAATAATTAAATATCTCTAACAAATCAAATTATTAGGATAAATTGATTGTTTACCGTAGAAATCAAATGAAATAAACATGATTAATGGGTACGTACCAAGACCAAGCCTTTAAAATGAACGAACGAATCACTCAGCAATCTCCCGGTTGCATCTGCACGGCCCTGAACTTGCAGCAAAATTTGAAGCAAATCCTTGAACACCATTCCTTCCTTTCCCTCCAAATCTTTCAGCCGTCGTTCAATTACAGAAGTAATGATGCAATCGAAACGCTTGGCGAGCTTGGTCGCCTGCCCCTGAATCCCCTGCAAATCAAACCTAGTAAGCAGGGGAAACGCGTCGGAGACATTCGGCCGCCCCAACAGCACCGTCATCTCGCCAATCGCCTGCCGATACTCCGCCGCAAAGATCGGCGCTCCTCCTCCCTCGGATTCGCTTCCGCCGCCGCCCCACAACATAGCCAGGGTCGAGTCGACGACCATCTTGGACGCCGCCTCGAACACTCCCGTCGGCTCGCCGGCCCGAATCGCCCGTATTCCCGTCAAAACCGCTCCTTCTCTCAGCGCACGACACGCGTCCAGGGCCTGGTTGCTGACAACCTCGCGGGCCAGGACCTTCCGCATCGCGGCCCAATCCGGCCCGTAAGGCAGCATCGCGACTTCGTTCCCGTCGTAGGAGAAAATCTTGGCCACGACAGGGGCCAGGCGGGTCGAGAATGTGGACTTATGGGCCTGGATGACTTCTTTGGCCAGGGCCGGGGAGCTGACCACGATCATCGATTTGTTGGCGGCCTTCAGTTTGTAGATTGGGCCGTGGGCCTCGGCCAGGTCCGCGAACTGCCGGTGGAGGCTGTCGCTGCGGAGGAACGGCAAGTAGCCGACGATGGGCAGCCCCCGTGGACCCGGCGGCGGCTGCGGCGATTTGAATCTTCGGAGACTCCGATGTAGCCAGATTCCGGCGGAGATTATTATTGCGGCGGTTATTGCCCACAGTGAGGCGGCGGAAGTCTCATCCTGAAAACGAGAAATTAAGGAAGTAGCCATATGGGGAAAGATAAAAATTTGAAACCGCCGGAATTAGTTAGAATTTAATTTGCGGATGTGGGCAATTAGCGGATTCGGCTGTCCTATTTATTGAGGAAATGAAACTGGTGTGGAGGAATGGAAACGCTGCCGATTGGTTCGAGGAAGACGACCTGCCGCCCATCCAGGATCCAGTTGAATTAATCGGCTGCAGACATAAGCCGATTAGTATGTTCATTCAACAACTTGCTGTTGAGTGAAAGATACTCCGCCGATTGCATCAAGGACGGGGACATGCGGGGCCCATCCAGAGTCCATTATTAATTTAATAAAGTTTGCACAATTACATTACCATATATATAAGTACATACATCATCAATTTTTAATATCGGGTTACCAAATTCCAATATAAGAACTCTCGTGAATACTTTTTTTTATCAATAATTAATTTATTTTCTATTTTCTTTTGCTTTGTAGGGCCTCGTTTCACATGGTGAAGTTACCAATAGCTGCGACGGTCACCACGTCACAAATTGCAGTAAACGGAATTAAGCCAGATGATAATACCCGCAAAAACAAAGAGTTGGGTTTCTAATAAGCTGAATTCTAAAAAAGAAATTATGGTGAGTTAAACATGGTTTTAGCACTATTTTTTTTTTATAATGATGATTGTATTGAAACAGAAAGACGAACAGAACAAACCATCAACAACGGGACAGTACAAAACAAAACAAAAGGGAAAAAAAATCAAAAAAATCGAAAATACCAGCAGTTCACAAGCAATGAACAGCTACAAATAGGGGGAGGGTTTGCTGCTAGATGGATCAGGTGATCCCTGCAGCGATCAAAACAAACAGAAACCTACAGGGGATGAAACCCAACAACAGGTCTCCAACAAAAAAGAAAAAGGCAAGCAGCCTACAAAAGAGAGGGAAAGGCTACCAACACAGAAAAGCGAAAGTCACCAAAAATCAGTCGAAACAGAAGTCAGCAGCTAAAAGAGGCGCATGAACCCAACACCAGAAGTCAGCCGAAACATGACAGCAAAAACCCAACAGAAGCACATTCCAATCATTGGCGAATCATATGCAAAGAGGGAATTCGCTTGTCAACCACATCATTCTTGTTCACCTTTCCATGAGCCGAGATCCAATCAAATGCATTACGAGCGATTATACAAGCCACCTCTTATTTAGCACAATGTTATTACGATCTTATTTAATCTTCAACGGTACAATTAGTTACTTACTGCTTCACCAGTTTGCATAATCTATGACTGATGAAGAAATTAATGGTCGCTTTCATTAAAATGAATGGAGACAAGACCCTTGGCTCATACGGCCAAATGGTTTCACAGCGATGGTTCTTCGGCCAAAGCATCTTCCAAATTCCTTCCAATTGGAGCAACTCTCAGAAAAAGGTGTTTTAGGGATATGATATTGGTAGGATGCTAACATAAAATAGGAGAATTTAAATTGATTTAATAGTGCTAATTTATCTCCCTTCTCTTCAGAGTTCAGATAAGATAACTAATCTTCTACTATTTTTCAATCGATCATGTGTTTTATTTTAACTTGCATTCCAAATATTTTGTAAAAAATCATATTAATTATAATTTTGCAATAGGAAAAAATCACCTACATATACTTTTTAATACAAAAAAATCAAAATACTAGTATATATATGTCTTTAAAGGTCACGGGCACTGTAGTCAAAATTGAGATTAAAAGGTTCATAAATGAGAAAGTCTACCGAATTAGTCCATATATCGAACCCGTTTTCTTTTATAATTGTGCTCAATAAGGAGAGTTGCCAATATTTTTGGTCCCTAGATTAAAGTAATGTTGCTTGCTGCTTGGTGATAACCATTTTGTTTTTGAACTTGCAAAGGAGTACATTAGTCAGCATAAGCCTAGGTGTGTCATTATGCTTGGACATTATTACAAAAGCTTACTAGAGAATATTACTTACTGACAACAACATATCTACTCATCTTCTTTATAGCTTCTAATTGATCAACATAATATATAATGATTCAAAATTTCCATACCATGTTTAAATTTATATACGCATACGTAAATTTTGACCCGATCTTATCATTCGGTGTGAATAATCTCGCCTTGCCCAAGATTTTGGTAGAGCTCTTATTATTTTCTGCAACTGCATCTTACAGATGTGTTTTGCCAAGTTTATCCAAACCCCATTCACTTAGCTCAACCTGGATCTCCCCTAAATCATACAACGCGAAATTACATTGCAGAACAGTGCCGAAAAAAAGAGGGAAAGCCAAAGACATAATACATGTTTACCAAGTTGTCACCACACCAATTAGGCAAACAAGTCTTGAGAAGACAACCGAAGTGTCGGCACAGCCATCAACGGCTTCTTCTTCTTGATGAATATCTTGTAATAATCCGAAAACTCAATCTTCTCTGCACCCTCCGGCTGCTTCCAGTCAAACGAATGCAACAGCGAGGCCAACACGTACCTCAACAACTTCCCAGCCAAATTAGCTCCGGCGCAAATCCTCTGCCCGGACCCAAACGGGATGAACTGGAAATTACTGTTGTTGCCCATCAGATCAAACGGCCTCTTGTCGTTGTCTTTGTTCAGAAACCTCTCCGGTCGAAACTCCGACGGATCGTCCCAAAACTGCGGATCCCTGTGGATGGCCCAGGCGTTGATTATGACCATCGATCCTTTTGGAATCGCATAACCACCGAGTGTGGAGGGTTCGGTTGACAATCTAGGGAAGAGGTTTAGGTGCAACCGACAAGTCTCCTTCACCACGGCTTCGAGGTAGTTGAGATTTTTCAGATGGTGGTCTTCGACGAGGCTGTCGAGTCCCACGATTTCGTCCAGTTCTCGCTTGACGTTCTTCATCACTCTGTCGTTCATCAACAGCTCTGACAGTGCCCATTCGATTACGTTCGATATGTTTTCAGTCCCGCCGGTAGCTATGTCCTTTGAAACATAAGAGGTCAAAACAAAATGATTGCAAAAGCTAATCAATTGGTGTGTAAATAATTCGAGTTGATAAGAGAAGTTCATGATATATTTCATTATTTTTCATGCTCCTTAAAACGGAAGTCAATTAATTGGCTTGAAATTTGCACATGTCCATCATATCATGTACTTTAAATTGAACACGTGATCTTAAAAACAAACCAGTTCTGATATCATATTATAAACCAATTGGTCGTCCAATAATTTGAGTTGTTGGGATAGATCCATATATAGTAATTAACCACTTTCATATCACTCATAAATGTTTAGGTCAGTTGAACCATTTATACTCTAATGTTGAACAAGATAGGATTTTGTTGTTGGATTGAAATACCATACCGTATTGGTGGTTCGATCAGACGTAAACGAAACCGGTAGGCGGTATTTAACAGTATGAATCGGTTAACTCATAGTTAAACCACGATTGTAACATAAAATATTCTACTGCTGATTTTTCCAGTATAGCCTCCCCTTAACGAATTTCAATTCTTGTTTTTAATTTTAGTCGAATGAAATTTTCACAAGATCAAATTGAGAAACCGATGATGAATATACCTGGAGAATGGCTTTGAGGTGGGTCATGGAGGCCAACGACGACGAACCAGCATTCTCAGAGTCCTCCCTAATCTCCAGCAAAATCTGCAACATATCCTTCAACCTCTTCTCCCCATCCCCCTGCTTCTTCAACTTACCACCCTCCAATCTTCTCTCAATCACAGAGGTGAACACCCAATCAAGCCGCTGAGCAACCGCCGTCGCTTCCTTCAAAATCCCCTGAAGATCAAACCTCGCAAGCAGGGGAAACATGTCCGAAACATTGGGCCTCGAATTGATCTCCATCACTTCCTGGCTCACTACTCGCAGCTCCTCGAAGCAAAATTGATCCCCTTCCCCACCCCACAACATACCCAGAGTCGCATTCGAGACAATCTTGTACGTCAATTCGTAAACGCCGACCGGTTTCCCGACGAGCTCGTTGCTAATTACTTCCTTCAGCGACCTGACAAGTTCTCTTCTCCTCAGGGGAAAACAGAGGTCCAGAGCAGGGTTGCTTAGGGTTTCCCTGACCAGGAGTTTCCGCATCGATTTCCAGTCGTGACCCATCGGCAGGGACAGGACGTCGGTGCCGCCGTAGGTGCAGACGCCGGCGGCCGCCGGGAACCCGCGGGTGGAGAAGATGGGCTCGTTCTTCCCGCCGCGGAGGAGGACTTCTTTGGTCAGATCAGGGGAGCTGACGACGACGAACATCTGGTTGGCGAACCAGATCTTGAAGATGGGCCCGTATTGGGCCGCGAGGTCGGCGAACTTGCGGTGGAGTGGGTTGTCGCCGGCGAGGAATGGGATGTACCCGACAATCGGCAGGCCGCGGGGGCCCGGAGGCGGAGGTGCTCGCGATTTGGATCTTTTGACTGAGAAGTACCAAGTTGCGATGAGTAGCAGGATGGGTATTGCGGCGGAGATGGTGGTGACTGGCGATCGGATGGGAAGTTGGTCGTTGTTGTTCACCGGAGGACTGTGAATCGACCGAGGATCAGCCATGGCTGCTAGTTTAGTATGCCGAAGCAAATGTATGTTTGAGGACAGTGGTGAGTGGTGACTGGTGAGTGGCTCAATACCCTGTATTTATTTCACGTGTTCTGTGCTGGTTTAGGGAGTTCACACCTTTTTTTTTTTTTGGCATTATTAGTATTTTGGATTTTCCGCCAAAATAGTAGACTTGCTAAATTTTTTTTAACAAATATAACACTTTTATTACATTATTAAAATACAAGAGTTTGGAGTGGTACGTTTTAGACACCAGTGAACTACGAATTGGGTTAGATGATGAGTAGGGCGAATGGGCGATACACATAGTTCACTTCTGTTTGGCATGAATAGAGAAGTTGTTCGTTTGAAGATCAAGCAAATTCTTTGCTGAAAAGGTAAGCGCACTATATGTTGTTTGCTTCAAACAATCATGATCTACATTGGTAGCTAGAATGTGTGGTTAATGACTTGTATGTAAATATATGATATTTTACATTTCATAAATGAGAAGAAATTTTCTAAAATTCAAACAATTTATCATGTGGATGGTCGAATAATAAATTATCAAAATGGTATTGATTACGAATATGGAGAATCAAGTACTGTTAAAATTCAGCGCATGTTAATTGGCAAGATCTATTACATATTTGCGAGGAAATGTGTTGGATAGGGGGTCAGCGAAGAGCATGCAAGACATATTGATTGCCAATTTAGAGGGACCTGGTCTTGCGTCAATCATGTCTAACAATAATGAGATTAATATGACGTTAAAGTTTATTGTGAAGAACAAATTCCGA